AAAATATTACAGTTGAATTCAGAGATGCAATCCAATTTATCCAAATGATAACTAAACCAACCGTAAAACAACAAAATTGACTAGATATAACATATATAAAATTACAGTATAAGTAAAGTAATATAATACTATTAATATAAATGATGCATACAAATTATAAATTAATTTAAAATTAAAAGTAAATAATAATCAATTATTAATATATATTTGATTTAAAAAATATTTATACCCGTGCATGAGCACGGGAAAATCACCTAGTATACTATATTGCAGAAACTTATCATGAATAATCTTTTATGAGACTACTTATATGTACAGATAGAAGAAACGATGAATACATATCATGTTGTTAACACTCACGAAATTCGTATTCACATATTCGTCTACCCATACGTACGTAGCTCCGTTACACATATTTACTAATTAATCATCAAACAAAAGTGAAAAACCAACTCGAATTACCATGAAACCCAATAATAAAACATTAAAAACAAATATTGATTAAACACAACAAAAACACAAAAAAATAAGGAGAATAAAAGACTATGTTTGTGTTAGCTAAGTTCTCAACTTTAACTAAGATACCCCATGTGACTATATGAGGCACAACATCATGAAATAAAAATTAGAAAGCTAACTTCATAACCCATTTGATCACTTTGCTTCACCATGAAGATCCTCCTCCTGTAGTATTAAACATCCCACTCCAGTATCCATTATTAGGGCTTGAAGAGTTATTATTATTATTATCACCATGACTCTTCTGTTGTTGACTATCATCATGATCAACTTCTTGTGCTATGCCTGATGTAAGCTCCTTCATTTGATCCCCAAATGGAAACAAAATCCTACCTTGATGATGATCATCAGACCTACTGTTGTTGTTGTTGTTCTGTCCCATCCCTTGATGGTCAGTAGAGAAAGAGAGGTTACTTGGCTTGTAATCAACCATTGTTGGAAACCCTGAAGAAGTGTACAGCACATTGTTTGTTGAATCCAACATTGGACCAGAAGGCATAAATGAGTTCATCCCTGATCTTGAAGAAACATTAGCTCCTGTCCTTAAAAGCTCAAGAGCTGAGACAGGAGACGAGGAAGAACCATAGAGAGAAGATGATGATGAAGGCTGCTGATGAGTTCCTTCCATCTTAGGCATCTGAAGAAACTGAGACATGTGACCATGATGATGTTGAGCTTGCATGACCGGGAAAGACAACAAGTTGAGATCTTGTGATGACCCTTTTGATTTATTAGGGATTTGGTTTGAGAAGAGAATTGGTGGGTTTAGATCTGGAAGTGTTGTAGTCAGACCAAGTGAAGATGGTGTTGTCTGAAGGATGTTTGATGATGAAGAAGATGGCCTCTTGTTCTTTTTTGAGCTTCCTCCAACGGGAACATTCCTAAGAGAGCCACCTTCGGTCCAATACCTTCGACAACCTTTGCAGAAGTATCTTGGCTGTGTGAGGCTATAGTTGTTGTAGTAACAAAACTTTGTGTTGGTTGAGTTACATCTTGGACAATTTACTTTCTCTTGTGGTCTTGCTTTCCTCTCTACCGTATTATTGTTGTTGTTTACGCCGGAGACGGTGGCTCCTGCGGCTGAGACGCCGTTAGATGTGAGAATGGTGTTTGGCCTTGCATCGGACGTGGTGTTTGGTTGATGTGTGTTGTTATTAGGTATCATGATTTGTTCCATTGGTTTTACGTTCATCATATCCTGAAAGCCCTAAAACATTTAAATTGAAATATCTAATTCATTAGAAAAACCGAAAAGGAGATAATTATAGTTTATCTTAAACTATCAATATATAGACATAAATTAGATTACGACATAGACATGTAATTAAGTCGCATCATGCTTCTCAAGATCAAACAGAAAAATGAAACATGCACATTAGATTTTCCTTGGTTTTGGTATATCCTATTGATCTATCATCCATATAGGATTTTGTAAAAAAATGAAAAGAGATGAACACCAAGAACAAAGGATAAATAACAAGTCATGACTTTTGATTAATTTTCTGTAGCTCCATTGTTAATGGTTAATCACATTAAAAGGCTGAGAAAAAATAAATTGTGAGCTACGATACATCCTTAATCTTTTATTTCCAACCTCGAAACCTACATAAACTATGATTTTCCCATGCAATTCTTTCATTGAAATATGTGTAATAACACTTTGACTTAATATCTCTCTAGCTATTATCTTTACCAACAAACACATCCAGAAAATGATATTCACTAGCTATATATATAATAACATATGCACACACACATAGATTTGCATATAATTAAGTATGCAATTTTTCAAGGATCATGGAAGCGAGAAAAAGAACAGAGAAGAATGAAGAGGAAGTTAAGAAAGAAACAAAACAGAAGAGGCAGAGGAAGATCTTATAAGCACCTGTGTCCACTTCGTAGCGTCCATAACTTCCGACAAAGAGAAAGCCAGAGAAAGATATGTGTGGGTTTTGAGTAAAAGCCAAAGAGAAGAATGTTTTTGAGTTTTTTTTCTTTCGCTTTTACTTTGTTTGTGAGTGATGACTCTTCTATGCGCTGCCTTTAACTTTATGGATGATGAAAAAGAGCCAGCGAAGAACGGAGAAGAGAAGCACTCAGTTTTTAACTTATTATTTTAGAGAATATCTCTTCTTTTATTTTTGGTTCAACTATAGAATATATATATATATATATATATATATATATAATTTTCTTATACATTTTTGAATAGGAAACATATAAAAGAGGATTTAGGTTAGATGACCAAGAAAACTATGTGATCTTAAAAAACAACCAGATATTTTCTATAATATGCAACTATTTTCTTTTTGTAGCAATTCCATTTGTTATTTCATGTCAGTTCTATTGGAGTATTTTAATTAAGATTTATTGGATCTTGAAAATATTGAAAATAAAAACATATATATATATATATGTCTAATAACTTAAATGTAAGACTTTAGAATATAAAAAAAAAAATTGGATAAAAGTGATAATATGCCATTTAGATTATCAATATGAACTAAAGGAAAAGTTCAAAAGATTAACTATATGGTTGGATTTACATATTATTTTATGAATTGTAATTTCAGTGCATCATCCTAACTTTAATGTAAGACTTTAAAATAACATTTTTGGTTAAAGGTGACAATATGCCATTTAGGTGATCAATATGAACTAAAGAAAAGTTCAGAAAAGATGAACTAAATGGTTTGATTTACAGATTATTTTATAAATTTTAATTTCGTTGAATCATCCAGCCAATTCGGGAGTAAACTGTGGACTAAACTTTCAAGAAGAAAAAAATCGGTTTTAAAAGAATAAAAGAAGGAAAAAGAAAAAGTTGGGTTTGTTGATTTTGACTAGTGATGATGTCTCGTGACCGCTCTCTGTTGATAGCTCTTTCTGGTCCCTCTTAATAGAATATATTTTTATAAGAGAAAAAATCGTGTGTAGAGAATTATGTCCTTTGTTAAAATAAAATAACTCTTATGTGCATCATATAATGCATAGTGTGAGTGGAACTATGAGTTGTATGCTATTTCTTGGCCTCCCGTTTTGTGATTGGATACTATTTGTTGGCCATATGGACCATCAAATCACCTAGCTAGATTTTTAAAATCCCAATACCATACCTATATGTATATACACCACATGTCTTGCGGACATGTGATTAGTGGCTTTGACACCTAAATTTAGCTCTACTTTAGACTTTACTATTTAAATAGTATACTATACTGCCACCGATCTAGATTTATGAAACTGATGAGCCTAGTTCAATTACAATTTTGTAAATAAGCATTCTCTAACATAATATTTTATCATTCTATTATTCCTTTGTTGGTGTTGGTATGACTATGATGTTTCATAATGTTACCAAACAAACCCAATATTTACTTACATTTACGTATATTCAGCTATATATCTGGCTTTTCAGATGTAATCAAGGGTCACAACATCATACAATCTAAAGTTGAATTTTAGTGAAAGTGATAAAGATAAACTTCTTATTAAAAGTACCCAGTGAAATATGACATGTGTATACAAAAAAAAAAACTCACGAGAACCATAAGTCCTTAATTAACCGTGTAAGCTTTTAGATAAATGATAGTACACGACTTATAAAAGCAAATTAGTTAATAAAATAAGAATGGATTGCATCTATTTGGAATTTTCAAGGAGTACAATTTTGAAAAAGAGGACGAGGGAGAGCAGAGGAATGAGAAGACCGACAGGAAGCGACAAAAAGGAGGTGGAGATGGGTCCCACAATTCGTGGCGTGACTGAGATTTTAATTTATTTTATTGCTTTTTCACAAATCTAAAGACTGTTGGAATTTACTTTTCTTTCATGATGTTGACATTTGTCTTCTCTTACCCAACACCATGTCTCAGCCGATATTTATCTCTCCATATTTCGTGTCGTTTCACTGTACCAGCTTCTCCACGCCTGCCGTTTTGCTTTACCGACTTGCTAGCGTTGCCACAGGCCCACATGTCCTCAAGTCGGTTTGCAGATCCTTTCTAATAACCATCGAGCATTGTATAATTTAGGCTTGATAGTAATTATACATCAATACATGGCCCAATAGTTACATATAGTTATAATGTAACAGGCCTGCCAATAATAGTAAGCAGCAAAACTGACAACATTTTATGGTGATGTGTGTAATATTATCGACTGATATGGAAAGGAACAGTTGTAGCGCCATGGAAGCAGCTTCTCTTTGGTGAAATTGAGGCCAATTCTCACGTACGCCACTCTTCTGACGTTCAACGCGTTTATTCTTAATTTCAAGTACACAAGGAGCGATGTTCCTCATTGGTTTATATTATGGATCATAATAAAAAAATTCTATAAAATATTAATAAAAATCTGAATCTTTCTGCTCTATACAATTGTCTAAACCGCGTTGTATGAAATTTCATTTGCTCTAGGTTAAATGAATGAGGGTAGGCAAATGGAAGCGTCTATATTACTCCCTCTTGAAAATATACCATTTGTTAATTAATTTCAATGAAGGTAGATCTGCAGGAGAATTAGGTTAATAAATAGGTACATACATACACGCACTCTGACTCACTCACTTATAAGATTATGAAGCAGTGTCATAGAATCTTAACTTGACCTTAATCCAGATTTTCTAATTCTTCTTTGACTTGACTTCGCCCACACGGAACTATCATCATGTATTTATCTTTGACATAGTTTCCATTGACTTGGTTGCAGCGGACTTTGCCTCCAATCAGATTGGAGCTTTTAAGTTTGAATCAAAATGTATTCTAGGGTTTGTTCAACTATTAAACCTATATATTTTGAAAAAGACTATTGGTTAATTGCAAGTGTATATTGAGCCATTTCATTCAGTTTTTAGCATGTTTTTGCTGAGAAAGCATACGAAGTCCAAGTTAAACCAAAATTAGTTCAGTTTCATTGCTTTTTTTTTATAGTTTTTTCTTCTTCTTTTAGTTTTGATGCTAGCTTTTCATTTCGTCCGCTGGAGTTATTTACTTTTGCACGATTGAACCACTATTGTATTACGTAGTAGATTATATTATATTATGGTTAATTATTAAAATGATGAGCCATAGAGGAAACGATAGGAATCATCAAATGTTTAATTAACTCCATTACTATTCCTGATTATATAAGTTAAGACAAGTGTCAATTTCATTAAATATATATTCTAAAGAAGTTAGTTTTATATATGGCCTATATGGTTTTAGTTATGATGAATATATTAGTGCAGGCATAAACCATCTAATTTGTTTTACTTCTTATGCATGGGTCACATAGTAAACTAAAAATATCTATCTAACTATCATGAATTGGACAATAGTGGACAAAGACAAATTAAGCATAATGAATTTAAGATAATTTGCTTCACCTAATCGTTTAACTACATAGGAACCACCCACTACTGACCTAATTTTCAAATATATTTAATCCAAGCTAACATGTACAATAATCTTAAATGTTAATCGATCATCTAAACCCGTTTTCAAGTAGCTAATTAGACCGATCATCTAAGCTTTTATATGTAGCTTATACTATTATAGAGATGTCGCGTATAGTGAAGAGCTAGATCTCCCTCCAAATAATGCAAGATAAAAGGGTCTTATCCGTTAAAAAGGAAGAGAAGCCCCACTCGATCTCCCGATTGACGCCACATGTATTTGATATCTCTAATTGAACGATTTTCGTGTTAAATCTGTGGACTCAGAAGCATAAATTATGGGTTTTTTGAATGGTGCCGTTCGGTGTCAAATTGATTCAAAAGCTCGTAAGTTCATAAGCAAGCAAATAAACAAAGGATATCTCACAACTGGGGAAAGAAAATAGAACTCGGACAACTTTGTCTATCTCCGTGTTTTTTGTTTGCTTTCTTCACGGGAGTGACTTCTCAGTTTATAAAATCTGATTTAAATATTTGTTTGTGAATTTCGTCTCTGAGTGATTAAGGTGTTAATTACTCTTTCCTTCTAGTTTGTCTGAGAAATTTTGAGTTTTTTTTTTTGTTGGATTTGATTCTAAATTGCAAAGAATGATTGTTTGGTTGGTAAGATAAACAAAAAAATAACAAAGAGTTTGCTTAATTAATTTATACCAGAATCTTCACCTGATTAGTTTGCTTCTAATAAGCTAAGGAACCAATTCTTCAATTTCCTTAAAAGCAAAACCTCAGATTCTCTTGTTCAAAACAGTTTGCTTAATCAAAATCTCTTTGTCTTATATCAGAGCTATGGTGAAATGATGTCAGCATTATGGGATGTTCATCATCATTTTCACATTCAGCACAACCAGAAGGAACAAGTGAAGAAGATACCATTGGAGGAGAGACCTGAACTTGGAGCTTTCAAGTCTTTTAACTCCGGAAAGCTTTTAAGACTTTATATAGTTGCTGATGGAGACAATGGAAAGTTACGGTTCTATTGAGAATCATGAGTCCTCTAAGAAAAAGCTAACGACTGAGCTACCTAGCTCTCCATGGAATCCTCTCTCCAGCGAGAAAGCTGGACCGTGGTGGTGGCGAACTACAAATAAAGATGAGTTAGCTTCGTTGGTTGCACAAAGATCTCTATACTGTGTTGAGAATTGTGACCTACCAACACCACAGAAGATGAAACGCTCATATTACTCTGTCTCTAACCAAACCAGCTGCAAGAACAGAACCGAGCTGCTAGAAGCGCTTAGGTGTTCCCAAACGCGAGCCAGGGAAGCTGAAAACATGGCTAAAGAAGAGTACGAAGAGAAAGAGAAGTTGGTGAAGCTCTTGTTCAAGCAAGACTCGGAGCTTTTCGCGTATAAGCAATGGCTACAACTGCTTCAGCTTGAAGCGCTTTACCTCCAAATCAAGAGCAAGGAGAGTGAGAACAACAAGGAGCCACCGGTTTCCATCCCTTGGAGCAACTCCAAAGGAAGAAAAAGGAGTAAAGGGAATGGGCTCGTTGGTTTAGCATTGGGGATGAGTCTTGTTGGTGCTGGTTTGCTTCTAGGATGGACTGTTGGATGGATGGAGATGTTTTCTTTCTAGTCAGAAGTAGAAGAGAGAGACCTCCTAAGATGATCTTGAAAGTGAGAGCAAATCCAAAACAAAATAGATTTATGTTCAAATGATTTTTTTATACAATAGTAGAACAAAAAAGTAAAAATGAAAAAGAAGAGTTTCATAAAATAGAAATCTAAAGATCGGAAAATAGCTCATGAAGAGCTTTATTGAAATGAAATAAAGTAAAGAAAAGAAAGCTTCTTTAGCTTGCTACCAAAATCAAAAGAGTTGCATGAGAGGTAACTCCCTAAATTACATTTTATTTTATTATTACTTTTATTTTTATTTTTTGATCAAAACATTTTTATCTTTTATAAACGCGATATTTAATTATATCGATGTTATCCAAAAATCCCTAACTGAACCAATGAAGTTTTATTTTTATCCGAAATAAAAACCGAAATAATTAACTTCAAATTAAACCGGATTTGATAAATAACTAACTGTTCTTATATTTCTATAATCAAAAATTTTAAAACCCAAAAACTAAAAATCAAAGTTAAAGATTGATTTTTTATAATGAGAATGTAAACTGTTGTAAAAATTTACTTTAACATTGTGTTAAACAAACAAAAGCATATGAGATGATAGTTCATGTAACATATGATTAATGCTATCTTGTATATGATCTTTATTTAATGTACACAAAAAAAAAAATGAATTGAGAACATTCGGTGGACCGACCCGTATGAAGAGGATCCTTTTTAAAAAAAATCAAAGAGTGAGAAAACGGGTGGGGTAGTCCTAAACCAAAAAGACTATCGATCAATCGAAGAATCATTTGACTCTGCAACATTCGGAGATCACGAGAAGATGGCGGTGATGGGGAAACTGAGGATGTTCGTGGCGCAGGAGCCTGTTGTCGCCGCCTCTTGCTTAATCGGTGGTTTTGGTAATTGAATTTTCAGTCTCCATATTTCATTAATTTCTCACTATTTCTTAGAATTGGATTTGCTGAAGATATAGAAAATGCAATGATCATTGGAATGTTATCATGTAAGGAGTGTTGGGGATCACAAGCTTTGCAGTTTTTATATTAGTTTAGAACAAACAAATCAAACAATGGATGCAGCTTCTTGCTGTTATCTCCATGTGTATTAGTAGCAAAAGGCAAATGTGTTATTTGATATTTTCTCTTCAACTTTGTTTGTTTTGTAGGACTCTTTCTGCCTGCTGTTGTGAGGCCTATTCTTGATTCTCTTGAGGCTTCCAAGCAAGTCAAAGCACCTCCTCTTACCCATGTAAGTTTATTTATGTGAACATTTTATCTATGTGAACATTTTATCTATGTTGTGAATTCGTATGTTTGGATAGACTAATAATGTTTGTGCATAAAAATAGTCTTGCTAGTTAGCCCATTGTTTAGTAATTCAGTGTCTAGAGATTGATAGGCAAACTAAATGCTTCAAGTATTTACTCGGATCCTTTTTTTGCTTCTTGCAGGTTATTGCTGGTGTCACAGGGAAGAAACAGACCTAATCATAAGCAATAAAATTTTTCCCCTGTTTTCTTACAAGAACATCCATATTCCTTTTAGTTTTTAACATTTTTTTATAAAATAAGCCAAACTATGCTTTTTTTTGTTTGTTCTGAGACTTACATAAAGGCATGTGTGTATGTACGCTTTTTGTTTATCCTTTTTATCAGATGTATTCATTTCTAATGATAAAGCGAAAGCTTGAAATTTTCGTTCACATGGCTCATGAGTATCACAGAGACTAGTTTTACATTATGATGATACTGCTAGTCTTACATACACTCTTAGTAGCTCTTTTTACATCAACTTGATCCTCAATATAGATAAAGAAGATGATTAGTACTCGTCTTTGTAATGCAGTTGAAAATATGCTCAAAGACTTTTAGCTTCTCAGCTTCTTGTTCTTCCGTGGCATTGCTTGCTTCAATCCCTTACACAAAGCTCCCTGCATTTCTCCAACCAAACCTAGTAATTAAAAGACAAGACTTGGAAGAGACGAATTCACGAAGAATAACCCTAAAACAATTACTATACCCAAAAGTGAGATAGTTTTACAGAGCCACCATCATGTAAGCTCCCTGATCTAGTAAACTTCATGATCTTCATGTTGTTGTTGATCTCACCTGCTCTCTCCTTCTCAGACAGAAAGACATAACTTCCCCTCATAACAACCTCTCCTCTCCCTTTCCTCCTCAGGAACCCCCCAAAGAGCCCATGTTTCCTCTCAGGCAAGGGCAATTCACCAGGAAGGAGCAAGCGTGGTGGCAGATCAAGACATTTAGGGTAAGAAAGAGGAAGAAGAGGGTCCTTGGGCTTGCCTGGTTGTTCTTCCCAGCAAAACGGAACAGAAGCAAGAGTGTGAATAGGAGAAGCAAACACTCGTGGACTTGCAGGTGATGAAGAGTACAACAATGATCTTGACTTTGTAGCTAACACAAGCGCCAGCTTCTCTTTTTCCTTTTCTTCTCCCATCTGTTTGGTTTACTCAGTTTCTTCCTTCTTCAACCAAAGTCTGTCTCTGTTTGTCTAGAGGTAGTAGTGGAGAAGGGAAGATATAAAAGACAGTGCATTAAAATTTGCATCAAATCATTTAGGATTATTAATGATCCAACGGTGGATTTTCTTCACTGTTGACAAGATAGACAACCAATCATAAAAGTCAGTGCTCTTTTGCTAATTGAAATTGACAGACCATGTCACCAAGTACTACTATGCACATATTATAACCATAGTATATTACTTTATTTATAGTGGTACTATAGCTTCGAATGGTATCCAACCGTTCCACCCTGCACCTGTGAATAGTAACAAAAATTCTACATATATATTTATACAGGTTTTTTACTATTTGAATCGTACCACATTTGAACCGTAATTGTCCCACATGTTACCATTCGAAGTCATAGTCAATTTTGAAGTAAAACAAATTTTGAAAATACACAGAATTAATTTTGTTTTGATATGTGTGCATAAACCTAAAAAAAAAGTGAAACGAAACAGAAGGAATATGTATTATATTAAAATTTACCAATCATATACTTAGTGATTTTCTACTGCTTTTTATTGCTGCTTTCTCCATCACTGTTTAGTAGAATGTTCAATAAATATAGACACTATTCTTTGAATAATCAATAAAAACTATAACCGAATTTCAAATTTTGGCTGTTAATCAGTCTACTTAAAAACTATGTTTTTTTAATAACTTCTTAAAAACTATGTGTTATACCGTGTTTTGGGTAACTAATTTAAATTGACTGATAAAATCATTATAGTTATAGAGAATCCATATCATAATTTGTTAGCTCAATAAACAGTCATCACCAAAATTCTGTCTTTCTAATCATAAGGATGTTTGTTTAAGATTTGAGTAATCTTTATGTTCATGCAAAATTCATCATCTATTGCGTGTGATAGGATACCCTGTACAGTCCGTACTCGATGAACTTTCGTGGGTGGACTAAGAGTATGTATACACATTTATACAAAAGGAATTATGGAGCTGACGTGACAGTTATCTGCCGACAACTACGAATGACTTTCTTGTGATTAGCCATGTAAAGTAAACCAAACTGGACCATTAATTAAAACGTGGTTTCATCAGACTCACACTGAACATTCCCACCGACACCGAGCTTATGATCTCTCCTAAGTTTTGTGTGCATTCGCATATCTATCCGAACGATCATTAACAATTTTTACCAAAATTAATAAAATAGGATGAAAGTGGTCTTAGGTGGGATTTTCTCTAATACTAAAAGAACAAAACTATCGAAAACAAATATGCAAGAAAGATTAAGGGAGCAGGTTATTTTCATTTGTCTTCCATTATTAGATACAACAATTATTTTTTTACATAAAATATTTTTATACTAACTCACTTATCAAATTTGCAATCATGTTATGTTATGGAATTGACAATTTCTAATAGATATTTACTTGAGTTAATAAGCAACTAGGTGACCCACCCGCACCCTGTGCGGGTATAAAAATATAGTATAATGCTGAGACAGAAGTATCTATTGAGTTCAAATGTGGGACTTAGTGGAACAAGTGAGAGTTTCAATGCTGAGACAAGATTTGCGCAAATCTCTAGGATGCAGTAGAGGTGGGCAAATCGTTACATTTTCGGTTTGGTTTGTTTATTTCGGTTTTAATATTTTTTTTTTCAACTGACATAAACCTAATTTAGTCTGGTTCAGTTGGTTTATGTCCAGTTCAATTTATATTCAGTTCGGTTTGTTTTTGGATCGGCTTAATTAGGCTCTTTGTCGCTTAATTTTTTTTTAAAAAAATTAACATCATTAGTATGTTTTTAATAAAAGTTAACTATTAAAAAAACAAATGTAAGTAAGATATACTGGAGACAGTGACATATTAAAAATGTGATAAAAATCTCATAGATATCACAATCCCATAGAAAATGTGATGAAAGTTTAAATATAATTCATAAGTAATATAAAATAAAAAGAA